AACGTGGCGAGGGTAGCCCTGATAAGCTCAGCTCTTTGAGATGCGGACAATACATATAAACATAGCTCATGAATAAGCTGAAACTCACTGTACAAAAACAGAATTTCAAATATCATTTTTCTGGAAAAGAAACAAGACAGAACATTACAGATAAAATTTAATATGTAAAGATCAACAATAAGGCTATGGGAATATCAATGTGCTGGATATGAGTCACAAAAACAACAAATATATCAATAGAAGATAAACAAATTACATGCTTACCTGTTCAATGATTGCTTTAACTCTTTGATTTTCTGTTGGGTCATCTCACCCCTTGAGAAGTCAAAGACCTCCTCACTTAAGAGCTAACAAAAAACATTCTTAAGTCAGGTATATATAATTACATAGAGCTAATGAGGAGATATTAAGTGCTTACTTTCAGTATTGCCATGCAATTCTCGCAAATGGTTTCACTTGTTTTTGCTGCTGCAACCAAATCTGGAATAAAACTACGCCAACGGGCAGGCCACTCGTGCTTCAAAATCTAATAATGAAAAAGACAACAAAATCTACCTCATTCACACCAGGGAAAAAAAAAAATGTCCCAATTAAAGAGATGAACAAGAGATGGAATATAACGGTACCGGAAACGAGCATCATTTGGAGGATAAAATTTAGTTACCTGAACCAGTATAATGTTCAATTTATTCACATACAGCCTCTCTCGCCGAAAGGACATCTCGTCACTTGAAAGCTGATGAAAATATAACATGGCAGAAATTCAGTATACTCTTAAATTAAAGCCAAAGTCAACACCCAAAACTACAGAAAACCCATTCCCAGAATTCAGGTACCTTAACTATAACTTCAGAAATATAATTCTTCATGCCATCTCGTTGTTCAACAGGCAAAGCATTCCATCTGTACTTAATAACACCTTCTAGAACCTGTACTTGGAGTTAGCAAGTGAATTGCTTCAGTATCGCAAAAAAAAAATGCAATAATCAAATAAGAGTTAACACTAGGCATACATGTAACTTGTTTCAAAGAACCCCAGAGTGCTAACAACTACCATTGGCATACCTGTAAAGCAAAAAATTTGGTGTTTAAGTTTTGCGTGTTCGTTAAAATGTGAACCACTTGAAGCCACATATCTGGATTATTTTGTAGGTCCCGCAGAATGTGGTCTGCAGCAGCTCTCTGACACAAAATCAAGAAATAAAGCGAAACATGTAGGTTTAGGACAGAGACAAAATAAATAGCTAGTATGTATCATGTACATAAAATTATCATGCCAGTTGATCTACTTATACACAGAACTCAACACAACTTCTTGCAGGGATATCAGCTTAAATCTATTAAAGAAAATTGTCAAATACAATGTGACAATAACTCATTTCGGATTAGAGAAGAGAGTGCAATTAACAGTTAACAGTTTTTGCATGAATGAATGCAGAATTAGTTCCAGGCGAAAATTGCCTCCAGACATCTCACAAGTTTCAATATCTCCAAAGTTTTTTTAGTAAATTGTAGTGTTATAACAAAAATAAGTTGTTAAAATATTTAATGGTTATTTAGGAAACAATAAAGTATGTTTGGCTTATAAGATGACTTGATCATAAAATAAAAATAGAGAAACTTATAAAATACTAACAGAAAAAAAAAAAATGAGGGGGTAATTTTTAGGTGCTTATTTGCTTAATTTTGCATATCATACGCTCTTTTCTATGGCCATACTGTCAAAGATCTTATAAAGGAGATTTAAATTGCCATCAGAGTGTACCATGCAGCGTCTTATAAACTCTAATTCACTTTTATACTACAAAATATCATAAATACAGAGGATTCTATTGTCTTACTGTTTATTTATAACGCGGGAGTGGGGGGGTCGTCACTAGTAAAATCCATTTCAACGAAAAAATATAAATATTTAATGTCCCCTTCTCGCACCAAATAACCACTTCATTCAAAATAAAATAAGAATTTCCACAAGTAACCACTTCAGATTACGTCTTTAGCTGTAAACCATTACTACTTTGACCAAACACTCAAAATCTTTAAATATTGCAGAGCGGATCAAATTTTCGCCATGTCAGTATGGCATTGCAGAATTCTGCCTCGCCAATATAAATTTGCAAATGATAATGGTTATGGCGTTACCATAGGCCGCTATGGCAGGATTTCAGACTGCCTCTTTTTGGGCGACCGCCATTGATCACGTTGAAAAAAATTACATTAAATGATGGCTATCCCTAACAAATTCTGCATTAAATTAACAAACTTTACAAATTATCCTTCACATTTTAAGCATGCGAATCATCTGGCAAACTACGCATGCAAATTTGAAATCCTATGTAAAAGGAAAGACACTGGACGCCAAACCCACATGAACACCTTATATGCCAAGACAAAATAATCAATCGCACTTTCAAACATCCATATGTTCAAGTCTCAGTCTATTCATGTGAAATTGGGGAGTAGTCACCTGAAATAAACTATGTGCAATAATAATATAAGTATTAGAAACCATCTACACCCGACAAGGTGGTTGTATCTACATCCTGCCCGTTGCCCATGTAACAATTTTTTCGACTACAATGTCACTATCCCCAAACATGCCCAGCAATAACAACCACTTTCAAGAGAAAGTTCAGAACTAATAAACTACTGAGCTAAGTTCATAAAGAGCTAGACTACAGATATTCCACACAAGTTTAATCAAAGAAGCAATTTCATAAAAGCTGAAGCCGCTCGCTGATACTGCAAAACCAGCAAACAAATATGAATATCTCGAGAAGACAAACGTGCTGCATATAAATGTAAGCCAATGGCTACAGAAACCCAAGTCGATAAAATTCCAACACCATCTAGAGTAGCCAATTAATTTAAAAAGAAAAAGGGTATTCGCTCGGACCTCCTCCTTAGATCCGGTCCCATAAAAAGCCGCCACAGTAGCATCCAGCAACGTGACATCCATCGGCTGGCTCAAATCCCGCAGCTTCTCCGCCGCCATGAGATCACCAGCCACTCTAACTTAAACCCTAAACCCCCAAAAAAGAAAGCGAAATCCCACTTAAGGTGAAAAACCCTAGCGAGAACAGCTGTACGGTATGAAGATCAAACCCTAGAAGATTTATCCGGCGAACAAGGAGGGGACTGCGATTCTAAATGAGAACTGAATTTGGATATGGGGAAAAGACAGCTTCAAATTGAAGCAGACTGACTCTGCAGAGAGAGAGAGATGAACTTTGAAAGATGTGTTTTTGCCCCTTCCCTGCCCTTTTATACCATGGGAGGGAGATTGTGTGCTGAGTAGAAGTATGTGTTACGTGATTTTGGACTGTAATTCTGCTTTTGGTTATACAGCTATGCATATTTATTTTGTTAGCTATTTGTATGATGTTTGGAGATACTACAGTCTTGTATTTAGATTTTTATTGTAAATAGATTGTTTTAAAGTTGTTTTTGTGAGCATTATGAAAATATTTTAGAAATATGTTGTGATGGTTATGTAGGTTTTATAGGTAATTTATTTATATTATTATTCTTTTTATATATAGATTATCTCATAGTGAGATTGTGGATGTTTTAGAAAATATTCTTGATTTGGGAATTGAAATTTATTTATTTGTGTTGGGTGTGGGTGGCCAGTGGGTTGCGGTGTTGGGTGCTGTGTTGGGTGCTGATTGGAGATGATCATTTGCATTGAAAACTTCATCACGGTCGATAGTCTCAAATGTGGCTAGTCATTGCCGATTTTGAATGTGAAGTTTATGGACCGTTATTCTTGACTGAGGTCGGACTCTTATTTGTAAATTATCTTCGATTTGTTGTCTTAGGTGGTTGTATTGTATGTGTTGTTGAGCGGTGGCCGGAGAGGTTTTCATTAAATCAGTTAAGTGTGTGTGGTAGTTGTTTTGTTTGCTTTTTTTCATTTAAATTTATCAGTTTTAGTCCAACTGCGTTTGAATATAGTCTCATTCATAGAGTTGTCCAGTCTCATTTTTTGAGTTCGTTTGTACCTGCTTGGCCGTCTGTTTAATTCCAATGGTGGATCCATTCTTTGTATTGGTTTTAGTGGCGTCTGTTGGTACATCGGGCATACTCTTTTTGAGTTTTTCAGTTAATATATTTATCGATTGAAAAAAAAATAATGTGTAAGATGACAATGTTGTACAAAATTTAGTATTTTTAGTCTAAAAGACGTGTTCTAAGTAGTCTTGGTAGGAGGACCATGATTCTACAACATTATCCGGGCATATTTTTTAGAACACTTATAATGTTGTGGGTACATTGAGAAAGAAAAAACAAAAAACCCAAGTGAAAAATAGGCTCAATTTCGATCAATATATTTTTTCAATGCAAATGGAAGTGTACTGGCCATGTGGCAATAATAAAAATTGACACATTTCATGTAAATAGACTCAACTATTGAATAACATGGATACAACTATATAAAAGTAACACAATTCACTCAAATTCAAATAGGCCAAGTTTCTACTTTGGTATAAAATAGAGTTAAGAAATGCAACGGGAGCAATAGAGTGGGGTTCCATTAAACCGAATATATTTTGAATGAACTCAACATTGTGGATGCTTGAAGTCTATTTAAACTCGAATAAAGACACAATCTTTTGCTATTTGTATGTATGTATTTAATTATTTTATATAATTCTATCTCGCCTGGTGAGGGCTGTGAAATCCATGGCCTTGAATTGGTCCGATGATTCCGGGTTTACTTGGTCGGACGACCCTTAGCCATGTCTAGTCTACAATCATCCGAAGTGTCAGTCCTAATAGGCTTCAACCCGACCCATTTCTTACTCCACACCAAGTCAACACCGTCTTCTCCCACGCGCATCAATTAGCGCGTGCGTACCCTTCTCTCATTTTCCGTCTGAAACGTCTCTCAAATAGTCCGACCGTACAAGCATTCTCGAGAAATCTCACAGTAACATCACAACAGGTAAGGCCGAAAGTACAACAGGAACTGCACTACGTACAACATACTGACAGCCATGAACGTGTTCCGGCTAGCTGGAGACATGACTCACCTCCTCAGCGTCATTGTTCTCCTCCTCAAGATACGAACGATGAAATCATGTGCTGGTTTGTACCCTAACGTACACCACTGTTCATTTATCTCACACGCATGCTCACACTAGCGTGAATGCGTGAGTGTGTTTGCGCGGTTTAGTGATCATCTGTGTTCATATATTAGATTTTTCGTTTTGAGTTGATTCATCTGTTAGCAGTAGCACTCGTACTTTCCTAGCTGATTAGGGAATCGAATTGGGAAAGATGAATGAGCGCTTAGCTGCAGTAATTTGCTTGTTTAATTGTTATTTTCTCTAAAATTAAGGAATAGTTAGCACAAATTGATGGGTAATTTCCAGTTTGACATGTTGTCTTGTTATTATAACTACTTATAATCCAGTAATGAGCATATTATTTGCAGATATGTGTAACCCTATGCACAAAGACAATGCAAAAATGAGTTCTGTTGCCAATTACTGTTTTCGAACTAGTGCCAATTAATTGGGCCGTCGAGAGTCGTTTTACTTAATGTGTGTATATAACTCCAGATTGACAAAAATCTTGAATCTCTCATGTGCATTTGGTCTTACTATGCGTTATTTTTAGGTTTTTACCGTATAATGTATATGTATATATGTATCTCATCCCGTGGCCCCCACGTTTTGTGTCGTTTTTTTCTACAGGGATTTCTTTGAAGACCCAGGAGCTGTACACCATCGTTTTCCTTGCTCGGTACCTCGATTTGTTCACGAGGTACTACTCCTTTTACAACACGGCGATGAAGCTGGTTTTCATTGGGACATCGGTCTGTATAGTCTGGTACATGAGGTCTCACAAAGTTGTTAAGCAAACATATAACAAAGATCAAGATACCTTCCGGCATTATTTCCTGATCCCTCCTTGCCTTCTGCTAGCCCTTTTAGTCCACCGCTCGTTCACTGTAATGGAGGTGAGTAACTTTTACTGTATTGTGTTTATATTGACTTTATTGCAGTGGAAAATAATGTTAAGTGAAGTGTCTAAATTTGGGATATATTTTAGTTCATCCAGTGAATAGCTTGTTTGGGGAATTTGTAGGGATTAATATAAAACCAAACCAAGGGGTTTAACTTTATTGCCAGAAAAATAAATTTGGGTAAATTTAAATATAGGACAACCCCTCTAGATTGTATTTTGTTTGATAAACAACACCACTCAACAATTGTAAATATGAAAATACAGCACATATATCTTCTAAACATAAGCGAGGTTTTAAACTAGGCGAAATTGCAATGGTAGTATCTAACGCTATCCCAGAAACTGAATGTGACTGGATTATGTGAGTGTTGTATTACAAGTTTGAACCTGCAATAATGGTGATGGTGTAACTATTGCTCCTTTTACTCAGGGTTTTTTTTAGTAATCGAGGAGGTCAATAAGTGGCATTTATCTACCTCGCATGGTTACGTTTATGTTAAATAATGACTGAGAAGTGATGTAAAGACTTGTAACTGAGAATGGACTTCTTTGTTTGTAGGTTCTTTGGACATTCTCTCTTTATCTAGAAGCAGTGGCGATTTTGCCGCAATTGATACTATTGCAGCGGACTAAGAATATTGACAACTTGACTGGGAATTACATATTTCTTCTTGGGTAATATTTATTAAGCTATAATAGAAAAATGTAATTATCTTTCATTCTCCTAATTGGTGATTCATATTGATTTCAAGAAGATATCATTCGTGAGAGTAATTGGTGCAAGTTATTAGGTCCAAGAATAAAAACTGCATTGGCTGTGTATTTCTTCTTGGGTAGTATTTATTAAGTTATAATAGAAAAAGTGTAATTCTCTTTCATTCTCCTAATCGGTGATTCATATTGATTTCAAGAAGATCTCATTCGTGAGAGTAAATGCAAGTTATTGGGTCCAAGAATAAAAACTGCATTGGCCATGTATTTTGACATGATTATGAAGGCAAAATGTTAATGCAAAATTCACTCTATTGAAGACAGCAAGTCTCTAGACTGTAATGGGCTGGAAATTTTAGTTGTCATATTGCTTCTTTTGGTGGTTACCTGTTTTAGTGAGTGCATTTTTTGTTAATCTAATAATTCAGTTGTGTTTTGCTGCTGGCTGTGTTATCTGATCACATGGTGGTTGTTGACATAATGAATTTATGGGGTGAAATATGTTTCCTGAGGTAAAACCAATTTATGTGTAATGAGTCATTAGTTTTAGCCATTTGGTACATTTTCATAGTAAATTGATGTTGATAGTCATGCCACGAGTAATTTCATACTCATAGAATTAGTAATTTGTTTTTCGGTTTTGGGGATAAATAGGAAAAGGAAAGAAACTGAAATTTAGCATTACTTGGCACAAAAGAGTGAACAGGATAGATCTATGTTCTCCAAATGGTTTTGTTAGGCGTATGAGCTCGATATTATCTTCCTTTCCTTCAATCATATTATTTATTTTGCTATTAGAACATAGGAGCCTACCCCAACTTGTTTGGGACTAAAAAAAAGGCTTTGTTGTTGTTGTTGTATTAGAACATAGGACTTGTTGTGATTATATTATTGATCATTCGCTCTAACCTTTCTTTTTCTTTTTCCTTTTTTTTAGTGCATATCGGGCTTTCTATCTTGTTAATTGGGTATATCGATTCTTCACAGAGCAGCATAAAGTTCGCTGGATCCGTATGCCTTTGCATCTTCTCGTGTAAATTTTTGTTGTAATGTTTATAAAAAGTAATCTGATTATGACATTCAAATTCTTGCAGCTTGGTTATCAGGACTTGTGCAGACTGCACTTTACGCCGACTTCTTCTATTACTACATAAAAAGGTATTTGAACAGATGATTAATAAATTAATTAAGTTTTCTGCAATTGTGTTTGTTATATCCTATGTACTAGCACTATTGTTATCAAGTTAAAATGCATCACTCACAGAATCTTCATAATTCTTTTCCTACTGTTTCTCATATTTTATTTATTCATTTATTTTTTCCGACCCTGCAGCTGGAAAAACAACGAAAAGCTCAAGCTTCCTGCCTGAATTTTAAGTTGGAGATATTGGAATGATGTCGAACAACATTACATGAAAAAAGTACGGGGATTACTGCCTAACCTGTCTGACACATTAGACGATATGTCGAAAATGGTTTTCAGTTTTGCATTTTTTTTTTTTTTTTTTTTTTTGGATGGTAATGTTTTATGTACTCAAATTATAGTGAAGTGATCAAATCTTCATGGATTATGACATGATATTATCTAATTATCCTGTCTTTCTTCAAACGCACCTTTATATGTGCAACTAGTAGTCTAATACTAATACCCATGTACAACATGGGTGTTGAGTTAATGAATATATGTGTAAAGTTATTTAAGTTTAATATCAAATTTAATTCCAAAGCAAAAATAATATAAAAATAACATTACAAAACATAGATTTTCGCCATGTGAGCATCCGAAACGTAAGAATCTGCCACCTAGGCTCAACACGTTTTGAATTAATATATAAGGAGAGATATGGATAAGTTAATTATGGGTGAAGAGTTAATTATGGGTGAAGAGATAACTGATTTTATCAACTGAACATAAATAGCGGAATCTTGATAGAAAATGAAGTCAATTAACAATATTTTTATTAAGAATATTTATTTATAAATATGTATGTGAAGAAAATTGTTTTAAGCATTTATTTATCACTAGTCTAACAATTATTGAGTTGCTTATATAGGAACATATTAAGTATAAATTTTTATTGATAAATATACAAATAATTAATCATAAATTAGTTGGAATTAGTTTATGTTTACTATTTCTTAATAACTAAACTTTAACTCAATAATATTATCCTCAATATTTTTAATATAATTAAATAATATAAACCAATCATTCTTTCACATTCCATGAACTTTAATTCAGTATTTAACAACTCACAACTCTTTTTTTAAAATTAACTATGTATAACAAAAAAAAACTTATTTTGAACGAATATATTTGTATACAAACACGCTCTAATTTCAAGGCCTCGTGTTACAATTGATAATGGACAGCATTTACTCTCAACAGTTACTGGCCCAAGCCCATATACTTTCACTTAACCAGCCTCATATTTTCGGATCCATTTCCCTTCGGCTTTGTTTGGTTCGGAGGAAACGGAGGGGAGGGGAAGGGAGGGGAGGGAAATTTTTAGTTTTCCCTTGTTTGGTTCGATTTTAAGTAAGGGGAGGGATTAAGATTTTCCCTTCAAATCCCTTGGAGGAGGGAAAATACACACCCCTCCAAAAGTGGGGGAATTTGGAGGGGAGGGAAAATTTTTAATATCAAATTACTCTTTTGACCTTATTGTGAATTATTTTATTTTTTTTCCTTACATCATTAAGGATATATTTGTCATTTTAACATTATTTTCCCTCCCCCTCCATCTTCTAACCAAACAAGGTTAATCATTTTCCTTCACTTCCCTCTCTACAAAATCCATCCAAACAAGGTAAATTATTTTCCCTCTCTTTCCCTCCCCTCCCCTCCCTTCCATTAAATTCCTTCCCCTCCCCTCCCCTCCCGTCAACCAAACATAGGCTTCATCAATTGTCCCGTCGGAAAATCTGTACTGTCTATCGAATTTCCGTCGTGTTCCCTTGACAATAACCGTGCTACACCGAGAGATCGTTAGAGCGATCAAATGGCGTCGGTGCTTAGAGGTGCGATTGGCTTGATCAGAGAGAAAGGCGTCGGAGGTTTTCTCCGGGAGCTTCGAGCTGAAGGATATCTGTAAGCCATATTTACATGCTTTCGGTTGTTTGCAGAAGATCCAAAATTTTGCATCGCAGGCTCCTATAATCGAGTTATTATGTTTATGAGTTGAATTTTGTCTCTTCCATGTGATCCTTTAGCTTTCAATCGAATTGAATTTTTTTCTTTTTTTTTTTCTTTTTTTTTTCCATTTTTTATTTGGACCATTTGGTTGATACTTCATAGGGTTCACATCTCAGTGAGATTTGGGTATTTTGCACATGTATGCTTTGTTGGTGGTTATCATGTTATTTGGGTGTATGTTATGTGTGTTTTTGTAGTTTTATACGTTAACTGTGTCTCTAAAATTCTTTTTACTTTACTTTGCAGGAGTGCACTTCTGGATGGGAATCTCATGTAAGTAGTTTTAATGTGGTTTGCTCCTCATGGAACCTTTACAAGTAGTGGAGTGTATGTCATTTAGCATGCTAGGTTTATAAATGCTGTAATTTGACAACGAAATGCATAATTGGTTAATGATGAGTTTATTCACCATGTTCATGAGATTATTTGTTGATGTCAATCTCAATGTTTGACAAGAAGTTATTTTGGGCAACTCGCTGTTTTATGAACCAACTGCAATGTGTATTGTGAATAAGTTAAAAATGAACAATGCTACTTGGTAGTTGAAATTTGATCACTTGATAAGGAACTGGTGGATTGTTTATGGAGCGGTAGAAATCTACCTGGATAGGATCTTGATGTTGACAAAGTTTGAAGTTATGTTTGAGCTTGACACACTTAGTTGAAAGGTAATCAGGCATGTATGCCAAGATTTTGATAGTACTCGAGTTTGATGTGTGTGTGTGTGTGTGCAATCGAGGCTATTCCAGCTGAACTGCTTAAATGACAGTTGGAAATGAAATACAAGTCCGAGCTCTAATTAAATCAAATCCAAGCTTGAAGATTACATGGTTCTTTTTGTGCTTACTCCATATATAGCTCAAAATTTAGCTAACCACTGTTGACTGATGTATACATCAATTACAATTTACTTATTTATTTATTTTTTTGTGGTTCTCTCTACTGTCTTAGAGTATTCTATGATTTTTAGCTGGACTGTGTTTCCTATGTGTTAGTTTGATAGTGCCTTCATGGACATAGGGGAAACGTAAAACTATGTTTTCTGGTTCAACATTTTCTTATCCGTGCAAAGGGTTTTATATCTTACCTTTGTAGGTTTTTTGATCAGATGTTGTATTCGAGGAACTATCAGTCATAGTGAGTAATTTATGATCTTACCGAATCCGAGATTAGGTCCGTTTGCTAACGACTCTTACCTTCGCGCATTTATGCAGTTCCTTTCTTCGTCATTTACTCTGCTTGTTAGTGTAGAACTAAAGCAAACAAAGCATCTCGCTCTCTCTGAGCATGTTTTGATAGTCTAAATCTTACATGCGTCGTAATGTTGCTGTAATATCTTCAACTGGATATCATTTTTCTGCTTGTTAATTTAGGCAAACAAAGATTCACAATATAGGTGCAACACTTGTGGGTGTTGACAAGTCTGGCAATAAGTACTATCAGAAACTTGGAGACACTCAATATGGTCAGTCATGTTTTTTTTATTTACCTACACTACTGCTAATTCTTTTCTAAAATAACTTTCTGCTGTTATGAGCACATTTTGGATTTATATATATGTTTGTGTATATATTCTGATGCTGAATTCCTTTCTTCCTCCAGTCGTGAATATTCTGTTTCAAGCCTTCACTAAAAAACTGAAGTCCATTTGCCATTTTTATTTTTCAATTTTAGGAAGACATAGGTGGGTAGAATATGCTTCAAAGAATCGATACAATGCTTCTCAAGTCCCACCCGAATGGCACGGCTGGTTACATTACATAACTGATCATACGGGGGATGAGGTTAGATAAATGACACTGTTAAACTAAATTTATATCAATATTTATTCATCTAGTGTCTGCTGATCTATCTCTGCACATCACTATATAGTTGCTTCTGTTGAAGCCAAAGAGATATGGTGTTGAGCACAAAGAGAACTTCTCTGGTGAGGGAGACGAATATATTTACCACTCGAAAGGCCATACCCTTAACCCTGGTCAAAGAGACTGGACCAGATACCAACCCTGGCAACCCAAGAAGGTTTAGTTTGAAATTATTATGCTCGTATAAAGGTGTTGGAAAATTGCATGGTAATGCGGGCTCTTATTTTCTTCTATCAGTTTAGTTTGTACTCTGTTTGAAATGTTAAATTGAGTTATCGTGAAAATCGATGTTTGCCTGTTTGTTGTGATTTGTATGCCATGTTGAAGACAGAATTTTCTTGAGCAAGTCACTCTTTCTTGTTATGTTGATGAAGGTTTTAGATTTGTTTGGGTTGACTATTTTTTTTTTTTCTTAATTTCTTTTGTGTGCGACGTGCCCAAAATTCGAATGCTTCTCCAATCATGCTATTTGTAGTTTGTAATTGTATTGATATTTTTAAGTTGCTGAAGTATAGATGAAAAATTCATGATGTCCCGTTTTACCTGGCCATCTTTTATCTTTTATAATATGTATGATTATAGATCCCCAATAGTAGTGTTGCATAGAGATGTTGTTCGAGTTCACGCCTCCGTGTTTGAGCTTGTGCCTGTTTAACAAACAAGTCTATTTGGGTCGGTTTGACCACTCGTCGAGACCTTTTAAAATAATAAACAAGTTGTTTGCGAACGAGAGTTATTCTACTCGACTCATTTAATAAACGAGTTGAATTGAATATTGGAGCTCAACTCATTGAAGAGAGACTTCTCTTATTGGAGGCTACTATTAAGCACTTTGTAAATGAACAAGTCAAAAACAAGTCAAACTTAGAGCTTATATGAGCTTATTTGAATTTGTTTCGGCAAACCACTTCATTTGAATAACTACTCAAAATTGGGGCCCAATAACTGTTAAACGAAATGAGTCACTCGTGAGTTCGGCTCGTCTCGATTTGAATTAACCGAGATTGAGGTACTAAAAGCTCATTTGGTTAACAAGTTGGGCCCGGGTCGGGTCGGGTCGACTCGATGAGGCACGAAAAGAGAATTTTTATATAATTTTATATAGTTCAGCTCGTTAATCCTTGAAATCGGCTTGGACTAAGCTCGCTAATATTGATAAACGAGATAAAGTCGAGCTCAATTTCTAGCTCATTTACATAGCGAGCCGAACAGTTGGGCTCGGCTCCTTAAGAGCTCGAGTTCGGCTCGACTCTATTACAGTAACTAATTCAATTTATAAATGAATAAGTAAATTAATTAATTGAAGTAAAATCCCCAACCCACAAACCCACAACAATTCTATGGGCTCCGACTTGTTTATTTATTCCAGCCCGAGCACTTTTCCCCCTTTAAAACCTCGATTAGGGTTTTAAGCCGGCGAGAATCAGAAACGGTTCTGAGTATGGCGAAATTCAACGTCGTGCAAAAGCGGCGGCGAGCCGCCGTGGCCAACCAGAAGAGGCAGGTCCACGGAGACCCTGTATCCCGGAAACTTCATCAGAAATCCCAGCCCCTCTCCATCTCCGGCAAGCGCAAGCGCAAGCTCCTAAAAAAATGGCGCCGGGTCCGTCACCCATCTGTCTAACCTTATAT